CTAAATTCAGATACACGTATAAGCTTTCAATTGACATTTTTTTAAACTATAAAAACTATCGAATAAAATATTACACAGATTATTATACATTTTTTATGATCAGAGCGCTTTAATACACTATCTTCATTTTAAATAAATATCCTTAATAGTTTATATACATATATTACTTGAAGAAAAAATATATAAAAAATGACATATTGTGATACATTTAGTTATATTTTAATATTTAACATCGATTTAGAAGTTCATTCAGTAATTTATTGCAGACTAATAAAATTTGAATACATTCTATTATGTGAATGCATGAAATATATAAGCGCTAACAAATCGAAAATACACTTTTAATCCGGTCGAATTATTTTCCCATTTTAATAGGATATGAAATATGGATAAAAAAACTGCATAAAATTAAAAGATATAATAAATAAAAGCATAAATTGATTATAATGTACAAATGAATTATCCAACAGCTACTGTCAAGTGTCTATATTTAATACAAGCAATATTTATATAATTCATGGATTAAAATACAAATTGAGTAAATTATATATTTATTACATTTTATGACTACTTACAAGTTCTATATAACCTAAATTTGTAAACTTTAGAACTTTCGTTTAGTTATTAAACTACCTTCTTACATTTTTGTATTTGTTTGAGTTAAAGCTCGTCATAAAGTATATAAATTAAATTATATGGAGTTTAATATAGCCAATCAAATTAAAGCCATATTAAAAGTTTTTACCGAGTACTTTTATGAAAAATATTTTAAATTCACTTATGCAAACATAGATTTAATTGGCTATTCAAAAGCATGTTAATTAAATACCTCGACAGAAAGAACAAATATTGCAAATATAAAAGTAGTATTTTGAATTGCAAATATGTTATTGAATTTTTATTACACGTACTATGTAAATTACAGTGATAGAAACAAAATAAATATATTACTGTGGGATTTATGTAACAAAAACACTTTAAAATAATTTATATAGACAACTACATCCTCCATCAATTATTATACAATTCCAATTTTTATTTTAGTAAAATATGAATAATTTTATGAACACGTTTATAGATCTTTAGGTCTTTCAAAATATAATTGCCAATAAAACCTTCAAAGTCCTGGGAAACCTTGATTAATGTCCAAAATATTATTTCTGTGTTTATAGCATTTTAGAGAAAATAATAAATCTTTGAAGTGTACGTAAATCTATCCGCAAAAAATTTATATTAGGCAGTGCAGCAAAACTGGACAAAGGGTTTCCAAGCAGAAATACTTGTGATCGAAACAATATTATTCTTCTAATAAAAAAGTAATTTTCTAGATAATGGGTCGCTAAAAATGATTAATGAAGATAAAACTTTAAAATGTCAATATAATAGAGTGATAAATCAATTCAAATATATATTAATCTGAATTTATTCAACAATAAAACAAAAAAACAAAATGAAAATTAAAATTAATCATGCAATCATGGCCAAATTAAAAATAATAAACATAAGTAATTAAGATGTTAGTTTCAATTAAAACATACTAAATGTTAACTTTGCGAAATATTCTGACACGAAATGCAAATTGTATGTAGAGGGTTGAAAAAAAATAATATCATTAGAAAAAACGACATATTGCACCGGAGACGAAAATAACTTTTCTAATATAAAAAAGATGATTTTTTGATCAACAAAAACAACAAAATTTCGGAATTGCACTATTTGTTAATTAATTAGTAATAATTATTAAATTATTCCGCTATAACAAGGTTTTTCAAAGTCAATATATAAGTATATTGAAATCCCGTAGAGTAAGTTATAGTAAACGCAAAAAAATCGAAAATGAAATTTTTTATACATCTTTACGTCTCAAAGGTTTCTGAACTTTAAATTAAAAATGAATGTACATGTGTGTATGTGTGGATACAAATTTTCGTCGACGATTTCGGGAACACCGATCAACCTATTTTAAGAATTCAAAAAATATTCGTTTCGTGGTGATTAGTTTTTAGCAAAGGCATGTCCTGCCGTTTCGAAGATACTGGACAAACAGGGAAAAAATTGGTAATTCAACGTTTTTATAATATAAAAAAATCTAGTTTCTCATAAGTCTTTGTATAATTTTAAAATACAAAAATCTAATTTTTCAAAAAAAAATTAATTTAATAAAAACAATTTGTCTTAAGGAACGATGCCATGCACCACTACTTTATTTGAATATTATGTGAAAGAATAACTATTTATTGAAAGCTAATATCCTTTCTACTCGGATGCCACCGCTCCGGCGACAAAATACATATTAATTTCGCAATTCGCGAGCGGAAAGGGTTAAGAGTAAAAGAAAAGTATGGTGAACCTCTTACTACGATAAAATAGTGGTCCATTGACTAATTCGATGACCGTACGGTCAAAATTATTTGAACTTTGGCCGGATGTGTAATAAAACAATATTTACATTGAGCGTAGGCAAATGAACATTCGCACACACAGCGTTTCTGTTCAATTATCTGTGGGTAAATACTCTGCAAACACTCGCAACGAGTTAAATTCGACTTTGCTTATATTATATCTCCATATCCTCTCTAGATAACGTATTATAGTATAAGCTCATTCACAATCACTGTACTCATTGCCAAAGACACATTGATAAAAACAACTAGCTGTAAGTGGAATTCTGTCTCAAGGCAATTAGGGCATCGTGCCTTAAGGCAAATTGCTGGAACTTCCCGTACCAAAAATTATTATTATTTTTTTAAAACGATTAACATTTTTGAAAAAAAATTACTTTGAAAAAATAAGATTTTTGAGAAACTATAAATGGACAAAAAATTAGTTTTTTTTGAAAAAAAAAAAAAAAAATTAAAAATTTTTTTTAAAAATTTTTTTTTTTTTGAAAAAAATTTTTTTTTTCTTTATTTTGACATATTGTGGAAGATCTGAACTTTTTTTCAAAGCAATCGTACTGCTTTAACTACATAGGGACAAAATATAAAGCGCGTAAGCGTCGCGTCGCTGTCTAACGCATAAGCATTAGTACGGAACCGATAGGAATGTTAACAAAATGTATACTTATTGTTAAAAATCTCTATAAAATGTCTGATAATTTGATGTGGCATATGTCTAATGATCATTTTTGACCGCCAAATGGCTCATTTTTTTTTACTTTTCCTCTATATCTCCGAAACCGCTGGACCTACCTTCATGAAAGTTATATCGATTCTTCATCTTGTCAATACAAATAAAATGTTTTTTGAATTATTAAAATCGGACGCTCCGTTCTCTTAAAAACTGATTACCGTTTTCGGAACTTTTTGCCCGTATCTTCGGAACGGCTTGACTGCCTTTGCCAAAACTAATCAGCACGTCTCCTTATCAATACGGATCGAATGTTTTTTGAATTATTCAATCGTTGATCCGTGTTCCCGAAATCGTCGACGAAATTTGTATCCGCACATACATACACACACATACATACATACATACATACACATACATACACACACACATACACACACACACACACACACACACATCCATTTTTCTAAGGTATGCCAAAATGTTCAGAAACCTCTGAAACGTAAAGATATATAAAATTTTCATTTTCGATTTTTTTGCGATTACTATAACTTGCCCTACGGGAAGT